CTGGGAGCCGCCCCCCGGCTGAAACCCCCACGCCTCGAGCAGGGCCTGGTCCCGCTCGCGCCTCAGCAGGATTCACGCTCCATCTCTCCCGAGCCCGAGGGCATTTTCAGAGCCTGCCTCCTGGATCAGGCCTCAACGGAGTGTTTGCACGAGGGCCCCCATGCAAAGCTCAAACATCCTTTTCTGCCAAGCTGGCTTTGCTGTTTGCAAGGTGGAAAGAGAAGCGAGCAAGGGCACCGCATCGAATCACTGCGCTTAAATCCACTACAGCCAGTTTGCAGAAGACCCAGCACCTGAGATTGCAGTGCTGAGCTTAAGTCATCCTCATGGATTTAGCCTGCTGCCTGCATCCCTGTCTAGCCCCTATGAAGTCTGTTGTACCAAGTAAAAACTATCAAAAATGCTGCAAATCAACACAAACAATACTGGAATTTCAGCAATCAAGTAAACCTAAGTTTTCCCTGCAAAGGGTCTAGCAGGAAAATGCAGTGAAATGCAAACAGCTAGAAGCCGTGATTAAAGAAATAGGTGATTTTAACCAGGACCGATGGTACTCAGTAACATTTTAGTTCATTCACTGTGGCTGCTCTTGTTTCCCACCTGCTGCTCTGCCAGCCTCTTCTGGATTTCTTGGTCATCACATATGTCGTAAACAACAGGCTTGGAAAGCTCAGACTCAATTCGGGCCAGCCAGGTGCGAAGGTTACTCATGTTTTTGTCCAACAGTTGTATAAAAGCAAAGGTTTCCTTCAGTTTCTTCACCCTAAAGAAACCAGGAAGAACATTTTGTTACAAATATCTGTAGCCAGTGGAAATCACGTTAGCAGGAGGCGATGACAGACATGGATTTATGAAGCACTTACTGTCGCCCTTGTCTGTAATCTGAGCCCTGTTTTAATCAAAACCTATCTAAATTGGCTCAGCAGGCCTCTGCTCTACAGCTGCAGAAAGGTCCTGTAAAGGTTATTTAATGAAACTAAATGCTCAGAGTGAGTTTTTGGAGTCACATTCATCTGCAGATGAGCTCTTCAGGCAGTTCCTGGACATTTGTCTAAGCGGACACTTACACTGAAATGTGTCTTGGCTAAACGGATTTTCAGGGATCTTTATGGGCCCCACTCTCCAGCCACAAATGACTCTGCTTCTTCACCACCAGCAGGCCCTGCCAAGCAGGGCAAGAGGGGCAGGGGCAGCAGCATGCCCAGATGACGGGTCCAGCAGGCACACGGATGCAGATGGGAGAGGAGAGGCCTGAGCAACGACACCTGCAGCCTTACAGCACCACAGTGATGTTAAAATCTCTTCTAAAGAGCGGGCTGAAGCGCACGGAGAGGTGCCAGACTCTCCTGGAGGGTGAGAGTGAAAAGAAGGATGCAGAAGAGAAAGAATACCCAAAAGCCGGGGTGAGCAGCACAACAGACAGAAAAATAAACTGCCGAGAGCGTTTGCTGCTCTTGCAGCTCTCTGGAGTCCAGCTCCCAAAGCGCAGGCAAACCTTGTCTTCGTTTCCAGCCCTCACACCTTTCCCCTTGCCAAAATTCCTCATCGGCCCATAGGACCAGCCTTCTGCATCACCCCACACTATCTGAGTAGCATCTTTGGACATTTTGGCAAATCTGTCCTCATGTGTTTCGGGAATGTCCGTTAAACCACCTTAGTACTTTCCAACAACTCCTTGAAATTCATATTTAGTACAGATTCCATGAAGACCACTAAAACCCTTGGCATCAAGGCAGCATTCATCTCTCCTTACTTCAGACTGACATCAGAGCTCATCACCTAAAACTCAGGAGTAAATACAGAGAGAAAAATTCAGATGCTGATTTTCAGCAGAGTTGTCAAACACCAACTTACAAGCTGACATGAACTAAAAGCACCATTTTTTCTCCACAAACTCCAGCAGTCAAGATAATTACCTCAAATACAAACTTAGCACTTAGCACTATGCAGACACTCATGTCAAGTGAAACGCTTCCACCCGGCCCAGTGAGAAGCTGTTTCTTAGGCAGAATCCTTGCCTCATACTGCTGCTTGCATCTCCCTTTTGCCACAGGATTAAGAAATGGGAGGGAGGGAAGAAAAAAAAAAATAAAAGCAGATTTCTGAACTAAATCATGAACTCAAGCAACTACCCAGCTGACCCTCATTACCTAAGTTAACACAGTTCAAAAAGTCAAAGCACACATGATGGAAAGGCCGAAACCTTTCCCATTTATTAGCTCCCTGACCTATGTACCAAACCCTGCAGGAACCATCAGTAGCTAAACAAAGCTGACTGCAGGGGTAGACTGAACACGGGGATCACTGAATGTGCCCAAATGCAGAGGCTGTCAGGGACGGGCACTGACTTTCTTGGCTACAGCAGATTGGTGCAAGCTGGCACTACGTCAGGCACGTGTGTGATTGAAACTGCCCGTGGCCGAGTGCCTTTTGCAGTTGCCTCTTCTAGGATATGATATAACAGTAGGGAACATGCAGGACAGCTGATCTGCAGTGAATACGCCCCGGCAACTGATCTTATTAGCAATCTCAAGGTAATTGCTTAAGCTCACATACATCAGACAGGCACTCTTGATGTAAAGTATGTGGGAAAGATCCTGCATCCTTATCTGGTTCGTTATACTGAGGGTACAGAGGAAGGCCAACAAATTGGGGGTTTCATACGGATTAGCAGCATGGGAAGCAGATTCCCCTGGCTCTTGGCCTGAAAGGGCCAGGCAGCATTTTCACTTACTTTAAGAGGAGGGTAAGAACAGAGACAGAAGTGTGCAGGTGGGAAGAGCACAGTCTGCCACTGTTTCACCCAAACATATACACGGCTGCACATTTTTTGCAACAAACAGGCACTCTTTTTGCAAGACACACACATGTTGGGACCACCCTATGCCACAGTTACTTGCTGGCACCACGGCTTACCATGCTGGGCTCAGGAGTGTCTCCCTGCTTCCTTGCTCTCTTTTTTGTTTGTATGCACTTGTTTCCTGTCTTAAGGTTGCATTATTTAAAAAAAAAAAAAATCATGGCTTACAAGCCACGTTTATTCAGTCTACGTGCGGGATGACAAGGAAGTGAATGCGGGCAAGGAGATCCAAAGCAAAGCTCAGACAGAGCAGATTATAACTAAACATCTTTATGATTGACAGCACATTCAATAAATGAGAAAAGCATCCACTTTAGAGTCCAAGTGTTTTTTTTTTCTCCAGGAAAAAAATATTCTTATTATTCTGGCTTAGAAAGCACTCTAAAATTCAAGATTACCCTATATATGTGGGGCTGTATGCGCTAGCGTTACTAGCGACAGCCCCCAAAACAGCATCACTGTGATCCTGTGAGCTTGTATTTACTTTCTAGCAGTTGCCATTACAGATGCACCAATGTAATTAAGTAATTTAATCGCTGCATATTCCGGATTGAATATGACATTTGTCAGTTGTTTAACCACCCTTAATGCTCTGAGTCATTAATCTCAACCTTGCACTAAACAGCCAGAGTAAAAGAAAAACGTAATAGAAGTTCATCTTAGTGCAGTGTCTACACAGGAAGGCACTTCTCCACATGTTCATGCTGATTGATTTTTCTTGTTACAGTCAAGACCCACAAAGCCCAAGGTAAAGTTTTGGACTCTACTATGATCAAACAGGTAAGATAAGAGGCCTATAAAATTGTCATTTTTCTAGCTACAGCTCTAATAACAACATAAAAAGGCTAAACATTGCCACAAAAACCACACATTTGCAAAACCCTGGCTCTGTCTGCCCCGTTGCAAGTATTCTTGCAAATTATCTGCTGTTTGCAGAAAAGAGACCTTGTGAACCCTTCGGAGATGCAGCCTGAAGGGGGATATTTGTCCTGAAGGACAGATCTCCTTGGAGCTGGGTGAGGGTTTGAAAGTCACCAAGCCTGGGGCAGAGGCTGCCCCATGCCCTGGTGACCAAACACCCAACATATACTCAGTCCAATCACCCAACATACACTGAATTGCAGCTGCAGTAAGTTCAATGGGGGACATGAGCAGAGGGCATCAATTACCTAGACGGTAGAACGGGATAACATCATAAATGACTGACTGTTTTCTTCTACAGAATATGATTCTCATGTTATCTGGTCACACAGGCAAAACACAGCATTTACTGGATAAAGGCCTAGTTGTGCACAGTTCGCTTACCAACGACAACTGACCAAAAATAAATAATAAATAATCCAAGAAGTATCACCCTCTCTTGAAAAAGACCAAAAAACTCAGGCAGCTCATATACCTTGCAATGGGCACAACTTAATTATTTCCTCATTTAGGAGACACATGCATCAGGCACATCAGCCCAGCAAAACTTAGCCTTTACACCAATATATAAGGGGCAGGAAAAACAGAACTAAGAGGTCACAACCAGAAGCCGGTTGCAAAAGCGAACAGCGGGGCTTAGTGCCCTGACCCCACCTGGGTAGGGGGCTCAACAGGCCCTGCTGAAGCTGCCAGTGAACATCAGTATTGGGAGAAAGATATGGGGGTGTTTCAGGCCCACCCCCCACCAGACAAGCGGTGCTCAGGTGTCCCTGCTCTGTGACATGCTCGCCCAGACCAGGGGCTTTTGCAAAACGCCTGTGAGCAGGTTGCGCCATGAATGACACCCGAAGAGATGAGGGGCGTCCTGACGTCTCACGCATCCACACGAATGTTAGTGGGGCCCGGCAGCCACAGCCACCGCGTGCGTTTATTATAAGCACAGGATGAGGCGCGATCAGCAGCTGCTGGGATTAGTGCCGGCTTCACGGGTGTGCAGCGAGGGGAGAGCTTTGTTCGGGAGCCGGGAGGCGGCGGCAGCGCCGACGCTGCGCCGGGGCCTTCACGCGAAGCCCCAGGTGATGCTGCCGCCGTGGGCGGCCGGCCCTGCACGGGGCGGCCCTCGCGTCTTCCCCCTTCCCCGGCCTCTTCCCCCACCGCCCTGGCCGGGCCAAAGGCACCAAGATGGCACTTACGGCTCGCCAGGGAGAACCATTCCTGGGCGCTCGCGGATGCCGGGCGGCGAGGGGCCGCGCCACACGCGAGGAGGAGGAGGAGGAGGAAACCCCTCCTCCGCCCGCGTGCCCTATTTACTCACGGCTTTAGCATCCCGCACGGCCGGG